TCCCCGGGAGATCTCGTCCAGAAGGCGCTTGGTGCCGGCGATGTCAGGGTGCGCGATGGGCGGGGCCTCCTTGGCGGACGCAGCAGCTGCGGGAGGGCCTGACATGGCCGGGTCGGCCGGGAGGTATGCGCCTGCCGTGGACATTTTCAGGCCGCCATGGTCCGTGCATCGCCACAGGTACGATACCAGTGCCTGGACGAGGGCCCGCTTCACGCGGGCGTCGTTGTCCTCGTCGGACACTCCTGCGGCACGAGCGGCCAGGCCGACCTTGAAAATCTCGGGGGGCGTGGCTGCGTCACCCGCCTGCGTGAGGGCGAGGAAAAGCGCCGACACGCCGTCGAGAGACGCGCCCTCCAGCGGACGCCCGTGCGGAAGGGCGCCGATGCAGTGGAGGTTGATGGCCCGGATGCCGCCCGGCGTGGCCGCCTTGGCGAAGATGTCGAGGAACTCGTCGTACTCGGTGGGGACTTCCAACACGGCAGGGTCAAACCCAGCGATAGCGTTCATGATTCAAGGAGAGAGCGCCAAAAAACAGGGGAAAACAAATGTTGCAGGAGACGAAAGGTCACACGCACCGATCGGGCTAACGAGCGGGGTGTGGGAGCGGTGGACTGAGCGTCTCAGAGGATATCCTCTTTCCTCTGGTTTTCCTGTCTCGGACACGTGACAGAAAAGGGAGTGAAGAGCTGTGCACGACTTTCCTATATTCCGTGGATCTTTATGGTAGAAGGAAGATGGGGAACGTTCCTTTTCCTAATCTCCGCTTTTCATAATCCCAGCTGGTGGTGAGTACAAAAACATCTGCAAAAGGTAAACTACATTTTACAATACATCCCCTGTACTAGTTCTTACTAGTTCTCTACTGGGTCAACGACAAAAATATCGGGAAGAATCGCTCCGGTACGTGTGTAATAAATGTAACCTTCACAGGGAACACGGCGCATGTCTTTTAGATACGATCTTAGGAAAAATGTAAGGAAAAAAAAAACACAGACCGGAACCCAGCAACAACATGGAAAGCCCTCCGGGCCGCTTGCAAGGCAGTACGTACAGCAATCGATGGTGGCATCTATGCCCACCAGGAGAAGCACGTGGCTAGAATGGAATCCATCCTCGAAGATCGCGACATGCGGGGAATGTGCAAAGACCTCAAGAGCTCGGTAGGCCTAGACGGGAGGCAGACAGGGAGACAGCATCCCGTAAAAGACGAGAATGGTGTCATGCTGGGGAGCAAGGGTGAGATTCTCCAACGGTGGTGGGCGAGGTTCTTGGACTCTCTGCTCAACGCTGAACCTTCCACGTTGAACCCATCCATCATCGAGGAGGTATGCCGACGACCGAAGGTACCAACCACTGACGGCTCGCAACACCTGGGGTCCGCACCTACCCTGGAAGAGACCCGAGGGCAGCACGGCGGATGAAAAACTGGAAAGCCCCTGGTCGTGATTCCCTGCCGGTAGAAATGCTCAACATCGACGACGTAGACGACCCCATCGTGATCGAAGACTTCCACGCCATTCTCGTCAAAGTGTGGAACAGGAGGTAGGTCCCCCAGGAATGGAAAGATGCCACCATCAAGATACTCTACAAGAAGGCGGACCGATCCTATTGAAACAAATACAGGGGGATATCCCTTCTGTCGCATGCGGGCACGGTGCTCCAAAAAATCGTCGGAAAACCTCTCAGCGACTACTACTGCGAGAAACACGACATCTTGCCGGAAGAGCAGTGCGCCTTCCGACCTGGCAGGTCAACCGTCGACACGATGTTCGTCGTTCAACGACTGCAGGAGCTGTCAAGGAGACGGAATATCCCTGCTTCGTCGACCTCCAGAAGGCCTATGACTCAGTCGACCGGGCACTACTATGGCAGGTGCTGGCCTGAGCGGGGATCCAAGGAAATGATCGCGGACATCCGCCACTTCCACATAAACTATATATGTAAGGCCATTTGTTACGATGCCTTTCTTGAGGCTGTCTTTTTTTCCCGAAAGAGAAGACCCAAAAATTACAACAAGAAAAAGATGGCCCCTGTGCTGCTACGTCTTTTTCTGAAGGTGGGGTTTCTTGATGATTTTCACCGGCGTTCGGCGTGCGGGAGCGAACTAATTTTTGAATTTCCGCCATCACCCACGCCACAGACCGCGCACAGCACAAAACACAACGCCCTTCTGCACCCCTTCCACTGCACACAGCCACATCCCGTAAAGCAGACCATTGATGCTATGAAACTAGATGGCGTACAGTCTCTCCCGCTGAAGTTCAACTCGTACGCCGAGGCAGTGATTTCGATGCTGCGGGACAGGAGCTCCGGCCTGACGGACGCCAAGTTGCTGAAGCACCTCCAGAACGGGTGCATCGTGTACGCGTGCTTGGCGGTCAAGCGCAACGCCGGGATTGTCTCCACACAGGCCAGGCACGCGGCAGCGGCGCAGGGGTACAAGGACATCGCTGTCCCTGGCTTCATCAAGCGGCTCCAGGAAAACTTGGACAAGGAGGATTTCTTCTTGCAGCCGTGGCTCACGTGCGAGGTCATGGGGAAGTCGTCTATGAAGGGAGGTAAGACACAACCAACGCGGGAGAGAGGCAGGTTTCGGGTGCGAACACAACCGTCTTGAGGGAGAGGGACTGGGTGCGAGTGTGTACCTGACCCTCTGCGCCGTCATGATGTGCTGTTGAAAATGACATGCTCTACGTCGGGTGTAGGGTGTATGGTCCGGCCAGAGGGTGATTTTAGCTTGCAGTCAGGCCACGACGGGCTGCTGCAGCAGCAAGAGGAACCAACATGCTGCTGTAGGATACCTTGTCTCCGCCCATCATTTGAGCGGCAACCACAGGATGCAACCCGACACCAGTGTACCAGTTTGTGCGTAGCCTTTCGAGCCTCAGTTGTATGGCAACCGAGGCCCGCCCATTTCCTGGAGCATTGCCGTAAATGACACAAGATACCACACCCCCTTGACCGATTTCAAAGCTCGATTACTCCACGATAAAGAGGATGCACGAACAGAACGATGCATTGTCGGCAACCTCTCGATGAGACGGCTTCAACGCCGCCATGGTTGTCACTGTGACTCCTTTTGCTGTTGAGGAATGGGCCTTTGAAAATCGGTCAAGGGGGTGTGGTATCTTATGTCATTGTGGTACTCTTATTGAGAGGCATGTAGAGCAATGTTGGTAGTCTACAGCACGTCATCCAGCAGTAGGTATGTTTCGGATAGATCATTGCACATGTTTGATTTGCTGCTACTGCTGACCATTAAGTGCTACTGCTGTTCGACTGCTGCTCGACTTGCCTACCCCATGTTACTGCGACGCAGGCGCGGTCCTCTTCACCGACGGCGAAAAATTGTGGAAGCGGTTCGACAAAATCCTGCGCGAACAAGAAATACTACAACCCCGTGTGGGACAGTTGTGTCTGTCTGTGATATTGTTTGTGTACGTGCTTGGAGCGTCAGTACAGCTGCCGAGCTGCAATGTTTTTTGTTGCGTTCCGTGTAGGGTATTTTCCTCTTCTCTTGTGGCGTGCACTGCTGTGAACGAGCAGTCGACTGCAACCACGCCCTCCCGAGAAAAACATGGTTGGCGTCGGCGGCGTAACGCAGTGGTGAGTAGTGCACGTACCTTCCGCCACAGAAGCACCGACGAACAACTCCCGTACGCAATAAATACTAAATGAAGAAACGAGGCCGAACACGAAGGAACACGGAGGATATTGAACGGAGGTATTTGTTCTCAATCAAGAATAGTAGTCGGTTTTACGAGAGTAAAAATCAGTGGTGTTTCGTAGGTTTCTGCATAAAACGCCCACATGCGCCCGTGTCTGGTGTGTTGTCGTGAGCATCGAACGCGGTGCCTAGCGGTTTGATGTCCTTGTTTTTTGTCCGCACACCACTGGAATTGCCGCACTACATTTAAATTTCGAAATGTCACGTGCTCCGATCACCATACATGTACTATGCTGACAACAGCAGTGTTGAACAAATGCTCAATCGCGTTAACGGCTGCTTTTGGCGGCAACTCGCTGGCGTTTCCGCCCTCCCCCTTCAAAAAAGTAACATAACACCACGGCTGGGAACAGCTTTGAGATAGGTGGCCCCAGGGCGTACAACATGTTGCGAAGAAATTAAAGTAGGCCGCCCATCCCCCACCCCGATCATATAAACTACGCATGCCAGTTGTCGCGGTGAGACACACAATGAACAACGATACACTCATGTCAGATTTATTGTTGCACTCTCCGCACCAAGTCAAAACTGTAGTCACAAACCCTTGTGCGTTTCGCAGTGTGTCGTTTTGCCCTCGGTACGGTGACCCTCTCCCTGGTCGGCCTACTCTAAAACGATGACGGAACTCATGTGTATGTGGCACACCGGTGCTGTGTCACTTTGGCCGATTGGCATGACTCCCGGAACAATATTCTAAACCTCAGCGAAATATACAGTGGTGTGTATTCTTGACATAGTTTCCGCGCCACGGCCCTTCGAAATAAGTCGGATAGAAGAAAACCGATCGAAAATAGTAAGACCAGTGGCGACATGGGTGTGAACTGCTGCCCGTCAACATTCGAAATATGTGTCACCTTTGCGCGTACACACGAGCGAGAGTGCGTTACGATCGCTGCCAATCTCACCCGTTCTTCCTACCTCTCTCTACCTTGTTCCCGTGCACCCCTGGCCCAGTTTCGTCGAAGGACAACCTGGGGACCAACTACCGTCGGGCAGCCAAGACGAAGACGCCATCGAGTACCTTCTGGACGGAGTCTACCACATGGAATCCGGAACGGGGAACGCAGAGGACCCGATCGAGTTGGAAGAGAGGGGTGGCGGTGAGGGAGAGGGTTCGGAAGATGACTCTGGGGAATCGTCACCGACGGAGAGCGAGGACGGCGGGAGTGGAAAGCAGAAAGGAACGGAGGAAGCAGTGGAGCCACAGGAAAGCAGCGGTGATGACTCACCGGCGGGGGAGGGGGGGATGAAGAAGGAGCCAGAAGACGATACGCCGGGCAACGGGGATGATGCCCCCTCCGAAGAAATCACACGAGAAGAGGGCGGGTTTCCGCAGAGGCCCAACAAGTGGATGCACCAGTATCTCCTGACATTCTGTTTGATCGGAAGGCCATGCAGCAGCGAGGACCCTGACCTCCGAACCGCACGCAAAACATCCGGACCCAAGGGTCGCGGCGCGTCCGGGGCCAAGGGTCGCGGCGGGAAGCAGAAGGCGAAGAAAGGGTCACCCGGCACCAGCGACGAAAGCGGGTCGGAGGCGAGCGGTGCGTACACCGAGGTTGATCTGTCGTCCAACGCGATCCGGATGTTCACAGGGGCCGGCGAAATTCAAAGCCGAGCACAGGTGAAGAAGGAGACTGCTGCGGTAGCGGCCGCCAACGCGCAACTGCAGGCCCGCCGCGTCCAGGAGACCAACACAGGCAAGCTGGTGACGGCCGTGGAAGCTCTGTCGGCGGCTGTTGTGTCGAGGCAGTCTTTGGATGAAGAGGCCGCAGGCAGGGCTCGCTTGGCGGACGCTCGAGAGGCCAAAAAGGCGAAAATTGCAGACCTCAAGGGGATGTTGGAGTATGCACCATCCGAACAAAAAAAGATGGAACTGCGAGCCGCAATAATGGCCGCGTACGAGCAGCCCGACAGCTACTTCTTGGCCAAACCCATCTCGGCGGCGACACCACCCGGCGCAGGAGCTGCACTCCGTACGTCCGCTTCTACTCCGCCTGCTGCGGCAACACTCGCATCTACGGCCGGGGTAGGAGGCAGCCCAGCCCCCATGTCGTCCTCGCCCGCGGCGGCTACACCCGTGTCCGCGGCGGGGGTAGCTTCCAGCCCTACGCCCGTGTCGTCATCGCCCGCTACGGCAACGCCTACTTCCTCTGCTGCGGTAGTTGCCCCCGTCGTCTTGGGCGCAACACGGTCTGCAACACGGTCCGCCCTCCCGGGATTCACCGGGGCGCGGAAGAGGGGTGGTGTTGGTGCGAGAGCGGCACGTCCCGTTGCTAGCGCGGCTGGACACGTGAGAATTTAGAGAGTGTGTGTGTGTGGTTTTTTTGTGTACGGGCTATGGCAGCCATGCTTGTCATGCCCTCTCCCCCTCCGTCCCCTTGTGCCCAAGTTTTATTGTAAAGACGTTGTTTGCACCGTCCGATATGCCTTTTCTTTGTTTTTTGCACAGAACTAATCTGTAGGGTACCGGGGGTGTCACAGAACTCACAGAACTATTTTGTATTGGGCGAGGGTGCTACAGAACCTCAGAACTATTCTGTATTGTACGAGGGTGCTACAGAACCCACAGAACTATTCCGTAGGGTAATTACAGAGGGTACTTACCCCCGGTACAGGTCTGTGAGTACCCTACAGAACACACCCGTGGTTTTTTGTTTTTTTCTCGTAGCGGTTGTGTTTTTTTTTTGGCGTACGGGCTACGGCAGTAACGCTTGTCATGCCCCCCTCCTCCTCTTTGTTTCCACGTTTTTTGTAAAGACGTCGTTGCACCGTCCGACATGTCTTCTCTTTGGGTACTGTCATTTGTCTTGTAGCGTCTTTTTTTTTGTGTGTGTACGGGCTATGGCAGCCATGCTTGTCATGCCCTCTCCCCCTCCGTCCCCTTGTGCCCCAAGTTTTATTGTAAAGACGTTGTTTGCACAGTCCGACATGCCTTCTCTTTGGGTGTTTTTTTTTCTTGTAGCGGTTGTGTTTTTTTTTTTGGCGTACGGGCTACGGCAGTAACGCTTGTCATGCCCCCCCCCCCCCCCCCCCTTCGTCCCCACGTTTTCTTGTAAAGACTTTGTTGCACCATCCGACAATGTCTTCTCTTTGGGTGTTGAGTTTTTTCTTGTAAACGGTTGTGTTTACTTTTGCGTATGAGCTGCGGCAGCCATGCTTGTCATGCCCTCTCCCCTTCTGTCCCCTTGTGCCCGAGTTTTTTTGTAAAGAAGTTGTTTGGACCGTCCGACATGCCTTCTCTTTGGGTGTTTTTTGCTTGTAGCGGTTGTGTTTTTTTTTTGCGTACGGGCCACGGCAGTAACGCTTGTCATGCCCCCCCCCTCCCCTTTGTTCCCACGTTTTTTGTAAAGACGTCGTTGCACCGTCCGACATGTCTTCTCTTTGGGTTTTTCATTTGTCTTGTAACGTTTTTTATTTTTTTGGGTGTACAGGCTATGGCAGCCATGCTTGTCATGCCCTCTCCCCCTCCGTCCTCTTGTGTCCAAGTTTTTTTGTAAAGACGTTGTTTGCACCGTCCGATATGCCTTCTCTTTGGGTGTTTTTTTTTTTGTAAGCGGTTGTGTTTTTTTTTGCGTGTGGGCTGCGGCAGTAATGCTTGTCATGCCCCCCCCCCTTCCCCACGTTATTAGTAAAGACGTTGTTGCACCCTGTTCCCCCGACCCTGTTATGCCGGTTGTTTCTCCGTGCGTGTGTGTGA